TGGACTGATGCCTATAAAAGAGAATTTCGTCCAAGCTAAACGATATGAAAGACCATAACTAACACTTACTGAAGAGGCAAACCTTACAAAAAAGTTATTATGATAGGAATGCAAGACCGTTAAAACCACTGAAAATAGGAGATCACGTTTACATAAAAGAGAAGGGGAAAAAACTAAATGAAAGAGGGAAAATTATAGAAGAAGCAGAAAGACCACGTTCATATAGAATTATGAATATATGAACAGATGGAAGAATTGTAGAAAGGAACAGAAGAGATCTTCTTAAAGGCACTAATCAGAAAGAGTTTGGAATACAAAACAACTATGAGAATGAAGTTATAGAAGAACCCAAGAATAGCAGGAGCACTATAAATTTAGATGTGCCTGTAAGTCCTTCAAAACCTAACAGAAGTGTTGTGTCACCAAATAGTGAAAGAGGTATAGTATCATCAAATTTTTCAAATGGACATAACTACATTACTCGATCTGGTAGGACTCTTAAGAAACCTTATTATTTAAAAGAATGTGTTTAATTTTACTATTATTATTATTTTTGATAAAAAAGGGAGATGTTATATATGTAACTGTAAATGTATCTATTTTTATCTTTAATCGTAACAGTAATATAAAATAGTGGATGAGCGATGTAGAATAAACGATGTTTGTGTACATCTGGTAATCATCACTGAGCGCATACACAACATATAAAAAACAACACATAGTGGAGCATTTAAAAAAGCAACTTTATATGCAAAGTTTTTCTCTGATGAATGAACTCAGCTAAAAGCATGTTTCTAACTTCTGTACATCAAAAACACCACACACACAAAAAAAAAAAAAAAAAAAAAAAAAAACTTAATGCTCTTTTAAGTGAATTAAATTCTTTTTGTGCTCTTATTACATATTTCTAAATTTTTCGATTCCTAAATTTTTCTCTTCCTCTTTTCTTAGAACACAAAAGCAATTTTCTAAATATGAGTGAACCTTGAGTGCTAAGTTCGGTAAGGTCGCAAAAGACTGGTAATTTGAAGGAGTTCAAATCTAGGCAAATGGGTTAATTGCAGGGAAGGTTTCGTGGGTCTCCCTCATGTGAACGTAATATGAATTCTTTCCCTTTAAACGTCCTTTACGAGACGTGACTCTTTTAGTCATATAATCCTCAAGTGCTGTGAACAATTCTAAATTTTTATGATACAAAATTTCATATAAATTTATTCTAGCTGCCACTTTTATGTACATTATATTTATGAATACAAACCTGTGATTAATACTGAAAATTTTATTGATGCAATTGATGTTATGATTAATACTGAAAATAATGTTTAAGCTAAAAATCAATTTGAACCCTTTTTTATAATAAGGAACATGCGCCAAAGATTTCCCGACAAAGATTTTGGATTATGGTAAAGCACACAGGGTTTACTTGCATAAAAGAAGAGATTTTTTGAGGGAAACAGGCTGTTAATTCACAATACACTTGTGAAAAATCCTCAAAACCTCCCATGCAGCCGCTAGGATTTAACATGCTCAACGATCTTACCTCTCCACCGTTACTGGGATTTCTCAGCTTACAAAATATGTATTTTAAGTTAATTATTTACATAACAGAACAAAATAAAATGACAGATTATAAATAGTGCATTTTACTGACAAAACTACTGTAAAGAATCAGAATGATGCAATTAACTTAATGGCGGCCGATAAGCAGTGCTGGTGCATATGTTTTTTCAGAGAAAATCATTTTGTTCGTGTTGTCGTAAAACGAAAAATATTCATAGATTATTTTTTACAGTTTTTAAAAGAATCATGGATTATCTGTTTTAAGAGAACATCTTCTTGGAAAATTTTCAAAATGAAATTGGCTTGAATTCATATTACGCATAGGGAAAATTATAAAGACACCAAGCCGCTAACCTGTTTGGTTACCAGCGACAAATCCAGGACAAACATCACACATCCAGCATTCTTATTCACTCAACTGCAGTGAACTTAAATATTTGTTTGTATATTATTATTATTATTAAAATAATAAAAATATTTACTCTAATAAAAACTGTTGTTTTAAGACATTTTTTTTTTTTTTTTTTTTGGTTAGGGATTTCACGAGAATAATTAATTCTGAGTTGAAGCAAGACAATTTCTTAGAACTTAATGCTTCAAAAAATTGAATGCTGGGATTCCTAGGAAAGAAATTATCCTCAAAAAATATATTCCACAAAAAATTTTGAATTATATTCTTATAATGACTTCTTAAATAATTAACAATTGTTATAATCATTAAATATAATGCTTGCTTAGTTTTGTAACATTTTAAGGGAAGTTACAAAATGTACAATAATACCCTTTATTTACAAAAATACCATATTGAACAATTATATTGTAAGCTAATAAATAACATTGCATTGTTTCTTATTAACTATGTGTTATTTTTCCTTTTCAGCTTTCTGTTATAGAGTAATGTTTTTAATCCTATTTCAGACAAAGTGTACTAGTGTTTCAAGAACACGAAGGAAAGAATTTTTTAACTCAGTCAATAAATTCATGATCAACTGAAAATTCATAAAGACTGTTTCGGATTAAAATTCCCTTTCAGAATAGAATTGAGTGTATATAAAAAAAAAAGTGAAATGCAAATTTTAAATTGATATTACCATTTCACCGTTAAATAACCCTTTCAGCCCTTAAATAACTCCTAAATGTTTTGTTTATTGCTCTTAAAAACAGATCAGGTGTTTAAAAGTTAATACTGTAATGTTTGTATTAAAAAATCTCGAAATTATTGCTTAAGAAAAAGCGGAAACAAAAGCATTATTATTATTTATTTATACCAAAGGCACGTTTAATTTCTTTGAGATCGAGAAGATATTTTAAAAAAATGTCTATGCTATATCCTGAAATGACCTAATTATTTGTTTTCATAAAACAGATGAAAAATAAGTAACATTTGAAACCCATCCTTTTTCAAAACAGCTATCCACGTATAATCATAAAAATCTTTTTTTCTGCTCTTGAAATTAAGATATTCAGTTACCAAATTTTATCTCACTGAATATTTAACTTTACTTAAAAGAGCATATTTATATACATTTTTAAGTATATATTCTTCATTCATTTTGAAATCCCCTTAATATTTAACTAGAGTTTATTTAAAGAGCAAGTTTAAAAGTTACATTAAGTTAAATCAATTAAATTTGGCAGAAATAATAAAACAGATGTTTTTCAGAATAATTATACAAATATTATGCTAAATATCTATAAAATATCTATCTATAAATATCTGTGGGATCCAATAAATATCTATAAAATAAAAGAAAATTATTTAAAAAAATTATTATCTTCATATAAATGAAGAATATAGAAAAATCTTGAAAGATTTAAAGATTTTTTAGTTTATGACAAAAACATAGAAAATCAGAAATAATAGCAAATGCAATCGAACTATAAATATTGCTTTTCAAATGTTTCAGGAATCTCACAGAAAGAATGAATATTGCACCAGATATTTTTAATTTGGATTTTATTAATAGCAGTTTAACCAATCTGCATTAAAATTCATATGATAATCAATGACCCAGAGATTTAGGTATTTTAAATTAAACATGAATAATAATTAAAAAAAAAAAAGAGCGGGTAAATTTTAAAACCAAGTTGTTTCAAAATAAGAGTCTTTTAGGAAAGAAAACTTTTAAGATAGTGTTTGCACGTGTACCCTGCAACTTTCAGATGGTCATCACGGAGAAACTAGTCATTTGCAACTTTCTTGACAGCTCACATCTACGGGTACTAATATTTATGGTAGTAATCCATCTCATTTACAGTCGGAACCCTTGATCAAGTATTCTGGGAAGGGAAAGAACTAACAATAGCAATAGCTGACATTTTTCAGAGGTTTAGGGTTATTTTCCCGACATTTTAAGGGAAGCTCGGTCCACAATTAGTGACATTGTTAAAGGTATTTGTAGAAAATCATTCGACAGGCTAAGGGTTAAGCACATTCTTAAAAGTGGTAGATTGTATATTATATTATTACCGAATATTTTTTCAGAATTAAATTCAGATGGAGATATTTCAAATAGAGGTTATTTGAGCTATTAAAATAAATCACGCATAGAAAGGATACATTTTACCCCCTTTTAATTGTGCTAAATCAAAATCATGTCAAAAAGTTGTTTGTGAAAAACGAACTGAGTAATTAAATAAGAATAGTTCTATACAAAATAATAATAATAAAATTGACAAAAAAGTATATATTTAATGATAATGTTAATTTTTCTGAACAGTTCCCACAGTCAGCTTTTTTCTTAAACAGTACGTAAAAAGTGAATATAAGAAAACAAGATGGAAGAATTACATTTCAGAAAAGCAATGTTATCCATAATCAAGTTATAAATTGATTTTGATGAGAAGAAATCCTTTTTAGCAAGAGAAAAAATAATTAATAAATCAGTGAGAGTATCTTAATCAGAGCAGATTATTGCAAGGGTTAACAATTTACAAGCAAATTCTACAGATCTAAAAAATTCATAAGGAAAGAGATACAATCTAAAGATGATGATTAGACAAATTTATTGATTTAATAGTCAGAATTTTTCATTCTTTTTTGTTGTAAATGACGAATTACACATTCAATGAATTTTAGAAAGACATCAGTAGCTCAAGCATAACTAAAAAGCAGAAAACATAGCGCAATATTAAAACAAAATAATATATTAATAAATCATACTTCACATTGCATTTAAATTTTATAACAATGTAATTTGAATGTATGTTTGCATCTTCAAACTGCCCTCAGAATTTTGTACTTACAATTTTTAAGACAATCATTATTTTTGAATATATATTGTAATTTAATTCAAGATATATATGCTGTACTAAAAATTCATATGTAATAGCTTATTAATTTTTAAAATGCTCTATTTTAATCCCAAAGCACATCTGAAAATTTGATATAAGATAAAATATAAAATTTTTATTGAAAAAAAAACAGATAATTTTCTTACTAGTATCTGCTAAACTGAAACAAGTTTTATGAAGAGCACCACTGTAAAATTCAAGGCCTATAATAGCAAAGATTATGATGGCAAAAAGCACCAAGAGGCCAATTTGGAGTAAAGGTGCCATCGCCTTGATGATAGACTTGAGAACTACCTGAAGACCTGTTAAAATAAGTATTCCATGTTTAGCAGTTTACATAAAAAAAAAAAAAGTATTAATGTGCATAAATGACATTTAAATAAAGTTAAATTTAAGAAACTTTTTTTTTGGTTAACACAAAGCACATTATAAAATAATCTGTGCTTCAAATAATTTTTAATTAGTTTGTATAAGTAGTTTTAGTAAAACAACCAAAACCAATCTGAACATTATGTTTTACTGTTAAAATTATTGCAACATTACATATTTTAAGTGGAATTTTTACATCACTAGATAACAAGGCTTTTAACAATTCATAAATAAAGTACATTAATTTTCTTTATATGAAGTGCATATAAATTAATTTAGAATTTCAAACAGAAACATTTTTATTACAATAATTGATAATATAACACTGATAAAATTAACAAAATATCATTAAATGATTATTTATGTTTAAATATATGCTTGTTTACAAGAAATAAAGTTTGCATCCACTTATAAGATTGAGGAATAATCTAGAATCTTTAAAGATATTTTTAGTTAATCTACAGTATGCATTTTAGAAGAGGGAAGAAAAAAGAAATAACTGTAAATTTTAAACCAGTATGATTAGCAACCATCATAACTGAAAATACACAGGTGAACAAAATTAAGAGATAGAAAACACTTTCCCAGATTTCTCCTAAAATACCACACAAAATCTGGAGAGTTGTTTGCTATATAATTTTACTGTGGTCCAGCTGTACCTGATAAAGTATATTTATTCCTGTGGGCACTGCTATGCCAGCAGGAGGTATAAAAGTCTGCGTCCAGCTGCTCAACTCATTCCGCTCTACAACACAGTAGTGATTTTCATTGTCTTTCTAGAATAATTGTTGTTTTTGGGGGTGAAATGCGTACACATCATCGCTTAGATGAAGGTATGAGAATTGTGGATAGGCTTGAGGCTTGAGGCAGAGCAGTCCCAAGCTCAGGTTGCAAAAGAACTGGATGTAACACCAAGTGTCATTTCTAATTTGTGAAATCAGTTTAAAAATAGTGAGACGATTTTCAGAAGACCAGGACAAAGTCACCGGAGAGCCACAAACCTTGATGACTTGAATTTGGTATTTTCAGCAAAGAACCAGACAACGTTTATAGCCACACAGCTGTCTCATGACCTTGCTACTGCCACAGGAATATCAGTTTCAAGGAAGACAGTTGCCAGAAGGCTCCATGAGACAGGACTGTATGCTGGAAAACCCGCTCTTTGCATTCCACTCACTCCCTGCTACAAAAGAGGGTGTTCACAATGGTGCATACAACACCAACACTGGATACAGCTTCAATGGGCTAATGTTTCTCTTTACGGATAAGTTCAGATTTAGTTTACAACTTGATTCTTGGCAATTATTGATACAGAGGGAACCTGGGACCTGATACCATCCCAGCAGCATCATGGAAAGGGACCAATAGTAAAGAAGGGATGGTCTGGGCAGGGATCATGCAAGATACCCAACCACGCTCCATGTGTTTGACACTGGTTGCCTAGAGGTACAAGCAGGAAATCCTAGAGCCTTATGTGCAACTTTTCAGGGGCACTGTTGGCCCTGAGTTTACATTTTATTTATGACAATGCACAACCGCATAGGCCCACCTGGTTGATGACTATTTGAAAAGCAATGATATTCACAGCATGGATTGGCCAGCCAAATCTCCCGACCTTAATCCCAATGAACATGCTTGGGTTGCTCTTGGGAGGATGCCAACTCCCACTCAGAACCATCCAGGAGTTAAAAACTGCTCTGGTTAAGGAGTGGGTGCAACTTCCACAGGCACTCCTGAACTTTATCGTTATCAGCATGGGTACTCATTGTGCATGCTGTTTGTCAGAGGTAACAATACCAGCCACATTTTCACTGCCATCTTTCAACCTCAAATTTGGACCACATTGGAATCTTGCCCATAACTCATGCTAATGAATGACATTTTTGTTGTTATTTTGTCCACATTATTGTCATACAATAAACTATATCCATACCTAATTTCATTTATTTCTAGCCCATATTTCTTGAGATATTTGGGGGAAAATGTTCAATCCCATTAATTTTGTCCACCAGTGTATTTCTAGTGTACTGTACTCTTTTTGTATGATTATATTACTTACTATTAATAGTTTACCTAGAGCACAAAACATGAAAAAAATAATTCCATCAAAAGCATTTTTTAGTTAGACTGGTGAATTTTTAAAAACATCAGTTACTCTGCATTTTAAAGAAAAATCCACTTATTAAATGAAATGATGGATTTGTAGTTGTAAGAGTCTTACAAGAAAGAAACAGACATGAGAAATAAATATGAATTATATGAGCTGTTTTTAATTTTATCTCTTTCTACCTCCATTTTTAAGATATTAACAATATGCATTTATTCCCCTTTCATTCAAATGAATATTTATTTTATTTCTAGTTTTTATGGCATATACATTATTTTTTAAAAAAAATTAACCAGGAATGTGCGTCAGATACATACAGCTCCCACATGGTATAAAACCTTTAAAGGTATAAAACCTTTAAAATATCACCATCGCAAGTTCACTTATCTTATTCACATCACTTTATTTCTTTCTAATATTAACTAAGCTATAATTTGACCAATTTTACAGCACATTTTTTTATATAATATTCTGCTTAAAAATAAAATATGATAAGCTTTATCATCTTTACTTTAAAAAATATTAGTAGCATAATAAAATGTATGCGGAATTTAATTGCAGTCATTTCAGAATATTAAATTTCATGAACTTAATTGCATTCTATGTTATTCTGTTGATGGAAAGTGATAAAGACAGCAGCAGACTATTTGAAAGATATTTGGAAATTTACATTAGATAGGTAGACATTAAATCAGAAAGAAAAAAAAAATGTCATAAATCTGGCAAACTACAGTAGTGTACATTTGCTGAATTTGTCTTAAACAAAAGCAAAACACATACTATTCATGAGCTTGTCTACATTCAGTTTAATTTATTTTACACTCACAATTCAGCTAATTCAGTGATAAGAAGGAATATTTATCAAGTCTATGAACTATTGAAAAATATGATTTTTATTAAGAAGCTACGTAGAAGAGCTGTTGAAGACAAAATGTACTGGAAATGAATCATTCAAATTCTTACCAAATTTTTATATAAAATTTTGAGATCTTAATTAACCTTCAAATTCAGTTGCAATACTAACAAATTACAAGTACTGTTCTTACTGTTAGGTTTCCCATTAAAAAAAAAAAAAAAAAAAAAAAAAAAAAAAAAAAAATCTGAATGATAGTCATAGATTTAAAAATTATTTTTAAATGTATTTAAACTGCATTTAAAAATATAAAATCAAACAAGCATATGTTTAATATGAAAAATTTCCCCTACAGCTTCTGTCTGCTTTTACATAACTATATGCTTCTAAAATAATATGCAGATAGACAGCTTTGACCGGTGAGATGGCCCACCGTCATGCAGATAGACGGCAAATTGTCCCATAAAGCCTGAGTATTATTTGCTTCAAGGTAATTGACTGATAATCAGATTGTTAAACTTTTAAAAAGAAAAAATTTTAAAGGAATTGGGCTTATATTACATAATACAAGGCTATTCCCAGCAATCAGCTTATTCACACATCAAAGAGAACTGAAGCCTGACATTTTTATATGGGTCAGGAAAAACAACTTTGAATACAACTTAGAAACAATTTAGGTGCATTATTTTTATAATAAGTTAATCTGTGGGAAACCTTATTATTTTAGTCATAAAAGTATTACAGTTCAAATGTAGAAGACGTTATAGTGAACATCACATTGACTGTGATACAATACAATGGATGTTATATGAAAATATGAATAAGCTTTAAAATTAAGTAATGCTAAAATTAGCTAAATGGGAAAAGAAGTTCAAGAAGTAACTAGTATCAGCTGTCTTTACTTTTCATGCACAGTGTATGTAAAAATACTAAACAGACATACACAAATATAACTTTCAAATATTTTAAACACAGTTCTCCTATAAGTAAAGTTAAAAAATACAATAAAACTTAACAGTTACGAATGCAAGTTATTATTTCATAAAATTAAATGAAATTCCAGATGAGCATAAAAAATCATGAATAGATATAAAACATAAGATCAAAATATACTTTTTCTTTGTAATATTCCATTGCAAAAATATAAATGAGCAAAATGCAGCTTATCAATCTATAACTGCGTTTCTTTATATGTTACAAAATGAAATATATTTATAAGAAAATAATTTTACATTTGCAGGGACAATCTACAATAAATAAATAAATAAATAAATAAATCCTGTACCTACATTTCATGGCATTTTAGTATGATTAGTTAAATAATATAATTAAATAATCTAAAATAATGCAAATATGTTTTTGAGTTAATTTTTTTATTTAAATTTTCAAAGCATACTTATTAAGGTGTTTCATTCTTTCAAAGATGAATTACCTCTAACATAATTCCCCAACAATTTCTTTCAAAGAAAAATTACCTATAATATAATAAGTAGGTATAGAAAACATGGTACTATTCGGTTTCGAGGGCCGTAAAAAATCGCCAAACTATTGTTTGATGCCAATGCTGCCAAAAATAATTGCGGCAAGAAAGGAAGTATAATAGTAAATAACTATCTAAGATTGATGTTTTAATTTAGATGAAAGGTTAATTTCATATAATACTTTTTTATTATTATAATTTATATGAAAAAGGCTAAAGATGACTGAATGGAAACATTATTTCAAATCATTATTATAATTTATATAAAAATTGCTAAACATAACTGAATGGATGCCTGCATCGCTATTTCGCTACCGACTTATCGCTAAAGCCTAATTTCATCTCGTTGGTTGTTCAAACGTAATTTTCTATAATGAATGATGCCTTTTCTTTGAAAATATTCTCGATAAAGTGCAGAATCGCTCACTTATTTGTTCGGCGCTTTTTACAAGGGTAAAAACAATTGGATTTTTGTCAATTTTCTTTTACTTTTTAAGTGAAAATAGGTCGATGTGTACATAAATAATGTCAAGAGTGTGCGCAGTGCCATTTTTGTGCAATTCTAGAATTTTTTTTTAAAGTGAAAATAGTCGATGTGCACATGGATACCGAGTATGTGCAGTTCTTAAAAACGTGGCAAGCAGTGGATGATTCTGCACTTTTCCCAAAATTCTATTGCCGACGTTTCGTCATGGGCAATTGTTAAATCCATAGGATATCAAAAAAGGATTTAAAATCAAAAAAGTATTTAAAAATTAAACTAGTATTTCAATGGCATCTTAAGAAATATAGAACTATATAAACTTACGCAATCTGAAATCAGTGCGTATGCTAGATTTGGCATGCTGTTTAAATGGGCGCGTTTGCTAGATTTGACGCTTTTGCGCATACTTTTCGTTGCAATTTTTTTATGGCCCTCAAAACAGAATAGTACCGAAAATTTCTATTTCTTTTTCTTTATTTCCAACTAGCAGCTTCGCTGCCAGCCTTGGTCTGGCTTTTAAATGTACCGGAAAAATGGCTGAAGGGAACACCAAACGTTAAATTTAAAAACTGCGTAGGATTTTACTCTGCAGGACAACTTCATAAAAAAAGTTATTACATATAACAAAATTACAATGAAATAAGCAATATCCCTTAATACAAATATTAATTATCCTAATAAATAAATTAACCAACTTCCCTTTGCAAAATCTTAAAAACTCAAATGGTATAAAGGAGGTTAAGAACTTTGTTTCCTAAAAAATCACTCAAAACTTTTCAGTATCTTAAAAACAGTAAAATGAGCAATAAATAACATAAAAGAATAAAAAAAAAATTCTGAAAAGCAAAGTATAATTAATGATATTTTATCTTATATTTTCAAGAGAAAAAAATTACAATGAAATACGCTATATCCTATAATACAAATATTAATTATCCTAATTAAAAAATTAACCAACTTTATGTTGAAGAAAAAATATCATGCAAAACTTTTCATTATCTTACAAACAGTGAAATAAGCAAAAAATAACATGAAAGCAACTCGAAAAACATAAAATTCCGCGCAGAATTTTACTCTACAGAACAACTTTATTTAAAAAAAATCAATAAAAAATGTATTTTATATATATATATATAAATGACAATGAAATATGCCAATCTCTTAAAAACAGTGACATAAGAAATACAATGGAAAATTGTTGCCAAACCCATATTCTTAAAAGAGTGAAACTATTCAAAATGATGCGATTTCATCAAAAATCTATCAACAACAATAAGACAGGAAAATTGTTGCCAAAATTACATTTTTAAAGATGTGAGATGTGAAAAGTGTACTCGGAAGCTTCATTTAAATTTTTTTTTAAAAATACAAAATATTATCATTTTTCCAAAAATCTTTTTGTAAAAGCAGTCACAAGTATGAAAGTTTAATGTGTTCAAAAATCAAAGAAAAATAAACTGAACATTTTTAAAAATAAACTTTTTTAGAAAAAATCACGTTGAAAAGGTGTTAAGCTCCCTTTGTTAAATAAATTTGTATTTAATAGATTTATTGAAACATGAAATTTATTTTAAGTTCGTAAAATAGCTAAGTGCCTACGTTTCAAGACGATGTGAAAATGGAGTTTGTAGAGTAAAATCTTGCTTTCCTACAGCCCATTATGTCTCAAAATGACGCGATTTCATCACAAAATATAAAAGTAAAAAAAATTCAAATTCGAATTTCAAAAAAATCGCTTCGAAGTGCACTGGTTCTTGTCTAGATGCACCCATGTACCAAAAGCCATTGGTTTATTAGCTTATGCGCAGCGCGAATGAAAGACACACTCTTTCTTTTATTATATATAGAGACTAAAGGTTCTTTTCTTTTTTTTTTAATAGCTGTAAAAAAAATTTAACAGATGTGTCATTTTTATTCACATTCTTGAGTATGTCAACAAAACATCAAGAGTAATGTTTGAAATTGCCTGCAATCTCTCGGACAGAGCACATTAAGTGGTGTCTGTGTCCACAATATTTGCAGTCACATATTGGCCTGTGAAGTTAGAGGCTTATTTTTTAGTTAGATTATGCAAAGCATTTAAAGGCTATGTGTCTAAAGGGGAGAGATGCCTTTAAGAAAGACTTTTTAGGAGAAACTGGCTCATATTCAGATTACACGTGAGGAAAATCATGAAAATTCTCAAGCAACCAGCCTGCTCTCCAGGATTGGAACATGTGAGGTTAGAAGCATCCTATCATCAGCAAGTTTCATGTTATGCATGAAACTGTGGAACTTTGTGGAACTTATATATATATATACTGGTGAATCCGCACTACTTTGTACTCTATTGTACCACTTGTCTCAAGCTGCATGTCAATTTGCTGTACTTAATTCAATATTGTCTTGTATTTTCAAGCTATTGTTATTATGGACTTTTTGCTGCTTTGATAGACTTATCAACTTTCATACACTGAAACTATGTTGTCAAGCACTTCAATGTCATATCTATCACTAATAATTTGTACCATAATAAGACATTTAGCTAATAATACAACATATACAACAATTTTTTCTAATTGCTCCAAAAATAACTTCTTAGTAGCCGAACGTGCCTATGCCAATGATACTGTATATTACTAATCAAGCAATAGTCACTATCATATGACATAAATACCACCAACAAGGGATGTGCTTTATAGGTGTACAACAAACCTTATAAGTCAGAAACATTATGTTTTCCAGTCCACGGCTGTAAATATTATGGATCTGAACATGCCCATTTACATGTCCTATTCTGTGGGCTGCAAGTGACTGTGTAATACCAAAAGTTACCCTTAATGTTCTGTTCACATGTTTGACCTCTTCTGAAAGTTTCATAACAACTGGCATCAGAAAGTTCAGTAGCTTTTCTTATAAAATAAAATAGTAGACATTATAACATGATACAAAACTTTTAGTCATTTGGGAGTTTGGGATTGGTAAAAATAAATTTGAAAAACTATAAAGCAATTTAATCAAGATTTCTAAAAAATGTATTTTTTTATAAAATTAGGCAAAGTAAGAACATTGTGTTTGGTGTATATTTTATTCAAGATTCTAGCGATTTTGAGGGCAAACAGGTATAGGTCCCTCTTCATCAGGAGCAAACAACATCTGCAGATTAGCAGAATGCTCTGCTCCTTACCCTTAGAGCAAATGTAATATCGAGAAAGGAAAAAATCTGCTTTGTAAGCATGACTCCGTATTACTACGTACTGAATGATAAAATGTAATGATAATAGAACAACTTCTGAAATAATATTGAAGTAATATATTTAATATTAAATTAAATTAAAAGAGGGGAAAACTACAATTGAACTGAAGGAGGACATTCAGATTTACCATTATAAAATCACAGTAGGAAGACGAATAATCATAAATTTTATTTTTATCATTATTAGCAATGGAATATTACATCATCAAGAAAGTAATCAAAAATATTTATAAAATAAAGTTATTTTACTAGCATCTGAGGCTGGCTCATGCTTTATTTTTTGGCAATGTAAAAAATTTCATTAAAAGCTTAACCTTTTCCCTTTAAAATACTTCTGAAAAAATAATTTCTTTAAGCCCTCAAATTTACCTCATCAAATTTATTAGAATTACACACTAAAGATTTTGAAATGAGTATTTCAAAATAACTGCTTCTTAACCTGAAGTAATATACAGAAACACTCATTTTCTTTGCTTCTTTACCCAAAACATCACATTATAAGCGATTAAAATCTGACTTACTTGGTATGCCAGACACCAGCTTCAGAGGCCTCAGAACTCTAATAGCTCTCAATGTTCTCAAGTCTATACCTATGTCTTGGGGTACAACATCTATGTCTTGGGGTACAATGAATGTTATAAACCTGGAAAAATGGGAGGATATCTACAGGTACTCTACACTAAGGGATTACAAATGCAAGCTAAAGCATCCATTTGGTAAACTACTGGAAACTAGGCAGAAGTAGCCATCACATTTAACTACAAAAAGCAGGAGAAGATACTTAACGAGCAGAAGGATTAGTGACATAACTGCAAGAATGAGAGGATTCTTGCTCAGATTACCATGCATACCATGAACACAGCATTTTTTTCCATTTCTGTATGGTATGAACATGAGAACGGAAGATTCAGCTCAAGTAAAAAATTTGATATTGATGCTTGAAATAACAATATAAAAATACTGAGATACTGCCTCAATGGCTCTTTATCTACTCAGTTTTAGGCACTAAGTCAAAATCAAAATATTTAAATACGTTCCCCAAAATAATTCATTTCTGTAGCAATTTACAACTTTATAAGTAATACATTATACTTGTGCATATCAATATTTAATATGATATGCACAATGAAAATTTAATTAAAAACTTGCAGGGTGAGTAAATTTCTCTAAAAACTGACACATTATCATTTCTTAAATATGATAATAAATATTCTGGATCTAAAATTGAATTTTTATATTACAAAAACATAGCTTCAACTAAGCATAGCTAAATCTCATCATTCACAATGCCAGAGTGAAAAATATAATACAAATTAATGATGCATATTTCTCTTATATATTTTTAATAAATTCATTGTGCATATCTGATAAAACTACCTATGCAGGGTTCTATTAGTATTAATAGACAAACTGTAGTTTTATTTGTATTTACATCAGAGAGCAGACCAACTGTAGATCAACTGTAGTTTATTAGTAAGCCAACTGTAGCTTTATTTGTATTTACATTTACATTACATCTGCACTTCGAATTGCATTTGAGAATAAGTATGCAGCTATCTGAGATTTATGCAATAATAGTATCAAATGGTAAAATAGTTAATGGTATCATTTGGTAAAATTAATAATTGATTTGAATTATTGAAACAGAACTCGTACGATAGATTAAAACTGGTTAGATTACTTCGCTTGCAGTCACATTCTCTTTGAATCTCTTATCCCACTCTTACTTTTCAGCCAATGTTTAGATACATTAGCTAATACAAATTTAGACACATATCATGAACTGTTAATCTTTATAGCAGTCTATTTTACTAAATCATTTGCATGTGCTTTCCAAAATAATATAAAATAAAGGTTTTACAACTATTTCAGACAAATCTACCTATAGCCATAATCTTATTTTCCTAATCTATTGGTTACCTGAATCTATCTTTTCATTCCATAATTCAACTGCTTTCTGCATATTATAAAAATCTGGAATTTTTTATAGCAGAAATGTATAGAGAATGCATGTCTAATGGTAAATTTTATACAAATACTACATGGAACATGTGTAACAGAATAAAAAGATAAAACACGACAAAATTTTAGACTAAAATAGATAACTAATTTAAAAGTAAGTCAGATTTATAGTAGTTCAAAGATAATAAAAACTTGAAATGGTAACAAACCTTTATTTTTCATTACATGAAACTGCTAAAGAACAAATGCAAATGAACATACTCAAATATATATATATATTGCAGCAGTAGTTTGCATTCTGTTAGAGACTCCTTTTAAGCAAGAATACAAAAACAATTGCACCAAAATTTACAGATCTGAAATTCTCACTACTTTATTTTACACATATAAATTCTAGGTCTACTTCTTTCTAATTACTAGAATTTAAAAAGCAACTACTATAAGCACTGAGGAAGCAAAATAAAGTTAATTTAAAAATGCTTGAAACAACTTAACTTGAGATTAATTTCTGTCCAGATGGAATTTAACCACTCTTAAGGTAAAACTTCTAATGATGGAATAACTAAGATCCTAGCTTTCCTAAGAAAAGTTTGAACTTCTGTGTGTACTATATGGCAAACAAAGCATGTGAAACATTTTACAAAAACATTACAGGCTACTTTTCCATACTTTAGAATAACTTCTTAATTCAAACTGACAGCATGCTTTTTATATTAAGACAGTTTTAAAATAAAAAGCATTTATCTTTTCTCAACCCAAAGTTCTTTAAATTTGCATTCAATGTATTCAACTCATTTCAGTAGATTAAAAGAGTTCCCAAAGAATTAGATATTGTCTACAGGTATTCAAATTATTTTGTTTGATTTCTCTGAAAAATACTATTGATTTCATTAAAAGATATTAGACTAAACTCCAACACAGGTATTTTATTAAATTAGTTATATTTAACATTTAAATAAAAATTAAAATATCAAATATTTTTAACACTAATTTTAATATTATTATTTTAATGTCGCAGAATTTAGAATTCAATGCACAAGATTTCAGTTTCTTTATGCTGGAAATCAGGTTTCAAGGTAAAATCGCTTTCTGAATAGCTGGTTCATTTTTAAGGCTATATCAAGCATACAATGAGAAAGAAAGAGATCTAAAGCACTATGAAAGAGACTATAAGGGTCTACAGAGAGAATTGTCTATTCATTCAGGACTACCAACACCCATGGAACTCTTGAACTAGGAACTGTGAGATCGTGATCTAGATGAAGTGAGTGGGAACTACAAAGTGTGATCGAGGGAAAGGCCTATCTACTAACTGTGTTTTCCTTTTTCCCACTCAAACTTACTTGGTGTTCGAGACACAAGTTTCAGTGGACGTAATACTCGGAAGGATCGAAGCATGCGCAAATCTAAGTTTTCGCTCTCTTCAGCTGTTATGTTAATAATCCTGAAATAAGTAAAATCCTTCTTAACGGTAAGTACATTTACAGATTGTTGCGAATATTCTTGTACACCGATGATTCATTTGTTACAAATATAATTAGAAATTATGTGACAGCTGAAAATTTTTGGAAGAATACATACAAGTGTGCAGAATTTATCAACTCAATTACAAATGCAAACAAAAACTTATACCATATGAAATATGATATACATGATTTCCCATAAATAGTTTTTCATAAATTTTTATTCTTAAAAATTTCTTACAAGTAGAATGTCAAAGTGACACTACATGAAAATATAATTTATTCACAAGATTTGAATTAATTTTCTTAATATGTTTTTATTTATAAAAAGGCAATTTCTAATAAATAAAATGTAGTTTCAATCATTTAAAAAGTAACTGATTAAGAATTATATGCTTTAAAAAGATTCAGAAATGTTTACTCAGGATCACTATAGCTAATCTATTAAATGATGGAAATGTTCACAGATAGCTTTTTGTACTTCCTCCAAAACACTTTTTTTAAATGCCAGTTACGCAAAACAATTTCTCTTAAAAAGTATTTCAAAGTTTAAAACCACTCTAAATAGTTGGATCTTAAAAGGATTAATATTTAATACATTTTTGATGATCACAGTAGTCTAACATAATACTTATACACCTATCTAGATGGAAAGAAATATTACCCTTTTTTAATAAAAAATTACTTAAAATATTATGAATACATAACATTATCAGAAACCTGATTTAATAGTAGTTAAATTTTGAAGTTTTACACACTTATTTTCTTATTTTAATTTTCAGTTTTGTTGCATTCAGCAAAATTATTGCTGAAGATTACTTCTGTAATTTATTTTGTGACAATAAACTTTTAAACAAGTCATATATTTCTAAATTATGATTAAATTTTAAAATTTCACTAAAAAAAACACACTCCTTAATATAAAGAGCAATGCATCTGGAAAGAACTGTCTAAATGAGATGAAAATTTGTGATATGTATACAAGTAAATATTAAGACCTACAAAAGTGAGATAATTTATTTGAATAAAATATCTAAACATGGAATAAACCAGAAATCATTTTGCTGTATTGTCACTTTTGTAATGCCCAGCATGGAATAAATAGGCAGTGCCTGTAAGATTTCATAATCTTTAGACTGCCAGATTAATTTCAACTGACTAGCCAGTTTATCAGAATCCCAGAATACGTTTAGCCAGCATTTTATTTATTACCTCCAAAATGTGCTCAATCAAGAAGATTTTGTGTTATTAGGCTGATCTAAATTCAGTATTTAATTAAAGCAAAGTAACTCATTCCAATTTCAACTTGGAATACCCACAGAAATAGGTTCCAATGGTTTCCTATCTCTTCTTCAACAGAGAAGGCTTTCAGATACCTTATTCCAGCAAAACACTCATCATAAATATTTATGACTCATCTAGCATTTAAACCCAAGCCCAATAGTTTGGAAATCAATCAGCCTTTACTAAGCCATGATACTATGAGAGGCAGCCAGGCTGCCTTAACAGAGTATCAAAACTGAGCCAGTCTTAGAAGATCCATATCATATCACAATGAACTAGTGGTTCAAAAAATGGCTTAGAAATGCTGTTGATAACAATGGTAGCATGACAAAATGCAGAACAATGCTAAAGCACTGTGATAAAGGATACTTAAATATTATAAGAAATGGCTATTGATACTCCAGATAAAAGACAGGGTTTTTGCATTAGCTAAGAAAAAATGCTGAGAAAAAAACATTGGTACCCAGTATGGCTTTTAGTTCATCACTGAAGGCCACAAGACTCTTCATCAGATTAGGATCTATTTGCAAATTGTGTCTGTGATGTTCACTTGTTAGTAGTAGGTGACTGTGTAGCCTTTTGGAAAAATATTAAACAATAGCCAAGCAGACAGTTCTGCAGGTGAAGTCTCATTGCCATGGACAGGAGAAAGCAGTGGAACTATCCATAGTGGTTAATGAAATTTTGATTGGTGTTCTATACTAACATTCTGTCATTTTTTTACTGTTCAATGTGCATGTGTCACTAGATTAGCCTTCTGCTACTGACCTAACACAGTCAAAAGTCTTTAATCCGAACTCGTCGGGACTTCGGCGATTCCGGATTATAGATAGATTATCAGTTTAAATCTGGTAAGATGGCATGCAGAAATTATAAAATTACAAATATGAAACCATAATTTATGAAATAAAAAACAATTATGATTTAAAGGGTA